TGAAACACATGTGGCTAATGCTGAAACAGAATCGCTTCCCAAGACAGTAAGTCGGCCGGGGAAGACCAGTGCCCGCCACAACAAGGAGAGGATAAGTACATTGTTTCTGTATCTCTCATAAACACTTCTATAGCAGCTCGCTAGTAGCGCGCCAAGCAAAGTGGGAAGTGTTGTCAGTACCGTGAGAGTGGTTAGTACAAGATTGGCTCTTTATATAGATATGGGTGTTGCGCCAATGTTTTGGCCTTGACATTCTGGCCAGTAGTTGAGCATTAACGAATGGTGACATTACCACTCAGATTCTCAAGACGCGGGTGTTCTCTTCTAATGCTAGACTTTTATGTGGTTCAGCAGTTAATTTGCCAGCTGACGGGTTACTTGGTCTCCGCAACTTTAGAACTCATAAAATAGATGTTCATTAGGGTGACAATAAAAGTGAAAGTTTTTATTTTTAGATGTTTGTCCAATACTGCGTACCCCATGAAAAAGAACACAGGCGAAATCCTGGGTCATTTGGACAATATTTAGAGGTGGCTCAAGCCATTTGAAGTTAACACTACTGAAATTATTATTGATTTTTCTAATTTCTTTATTTATGAACCGATTACTATGAAACTTTGCATATATGTAGAATGCAAATTCAAACTAAAGTTGTTCCTAACATTTTTTCTAAAAATGAGTAATGAGTATTTTGGCTGGTGCAGCTATTGGCAATGCAGAGGGAGGGAGAGGCGGTGTCAGTCCGGGTAGGGGAAGAGGTTGTGTGCCAGTGTCTGACTGGTACAGTAGCATCAGTTGTGTGAGACGACGCTGGAAGAGTGGAAAATATCAGAGAATGTTTCAGCACTCAGTTTTGACACAACAGCTTCAAACACTGGGCACTTGTCGGGGCATGTGTCATTCTGGAGCAGAAACTGGCCGCCGTCTTCTGCATCTCGCGTGTCGTCATCACATCCTTGAGCTTGTTGCCGAGAAAGCGTATGTGAATGCATGGGGCCTTCCTCTGACCAGATAATACTCTCTCTCAAGCATAAGTGGAAGGACATCAGTCAAGATGACTACAGCCCTCTCTCAGACCTCCCTCCAAGTTTGTACGCGAAACGAGATGACCTCATCTGTTGCTGGAAACATCATCTGGGCAAGAAGCAGCAGCCACGGTGATGATTACCGTGAGGTACTGAGCTAGCAATCAGGTGTCTCGATGGAGCTCTACCCAAGTTTAATCTCGACGCCCGAGCACTTCAACGGAACGGTGGATGGCTGACTCATTTATGTCATGAAGATCCTGATTTTTGCTAATCAGTTTAAACTAACTGCTCGTGAGACATTAGGCTTGAACGATTCACATTCTTTGTGCTAGAGGTGTATGTCAGTGCATGGTTCACGCCTCGCTCCATCCTCCGCCTCTGCTAATGACTGCGGCTCCTCCAAGACCTGTCAGAGTACCACGACGTCAAAATATCAAGAACATGTCTCACAGTCTTCGGTCGTCACCTGTGGTACCCTCAGTGAAGGCTTGGTGGGTCTTGCACCTTCGATCCACAAGTTAATGCAACAATGAAGACAAACATAGTTCGGGCAATCGTTGAGAGGAAGGCGAACGAGGATTCACCAAACGCATGCTCTTCCCTGCCACATCTTCCCTTCCCACAAAGCAGCTCTCAGACTTTGCTTCTAGAGGATCAAACTTTCTATTTGAAAGTCTCAAATGAAGACTTCTTTTAGTCCAAGGAACCTGACACATGGTCTGATGATGAAGACTTCAAAACTGGCGTCGCAGTTGTGGGTGGTCTCTGAGTCATCAACCACACTGCAGAGAGGATTGCCTTATACAGGCATTCAACAGCAAGATCACGAAGAGTGAAGACCAGCGTCAACATCTGCTGCAGGTTGTTGAAGAGCAGAGGCGGTCACAACTAGGACATCAAAAAGGTCCCAAGCAAAAAGTGAAAACAATGAATGGGTTGTCCACACCTCTCCCACCCATTGATGTAAGCGTGTTCACTGCAGTTTCATTTAAAGGAATTAATCATTTATATGTACAGTGTACACATAAACTTGCTCAATATGTAAATTTTAAAATAAACCGCATATTATGAATATTCGTATTTTTTGCCAAAAGGATAAAACTTCAATTGACTTGAGCTACCTCTAAATATTGTCCAAATGACCCAGGATTTCGCCTGTGTTCTTCATGGTACGCAGTATTGGACCAATGGCCATTCCATTTAATCAATTTTAGAAATTCACCCCTATGCACTATTGTCACCCTAATGTTCATCCAATCACAATACTATTACGCCATTGTGATTTTCGATATAACAATGTCGAAGTACAGCCTAAAAACTTCCCAATTGGCAGTATTGTTACACAATTCCAACAGACTAGGCGCACCAAAGCTTGTTTCTCGTAAAGCTGTCGTTATTAGAAGTTGAACTTGTTAGTCGAACTGAAAATCCTTATGGGAGCTAAGTCGTTAACTGAAATCTCGTACATTGAACCACTCGTTAGTCGAGGGACCACTGTACAGGTAAAAGAAATTACTTTCTCCAGAACGAATGGCTCCCTGTCCCGGCCGCAAAAATGGCGGCAACTTAAAACCATCCTTAGACATTCTTGGGTACATCCAGGGTGTCATCAGCAAATAATTGAAGATCAGAAATTAAAAATCTGCGAATTGTCAGGGCATGATGTATTATGAAATAGATTAAGATGACTGATTTATAGGAATAAAATATGAATTATATTAAGATACAAAACTAAGTTTGGGGGCAGAGGTGAGGAGTGGCAGAGGAGGGAGGAAGGGAGGACAATTCAGCACCTCCCACTCAGTAGCCCACGATCCCTTTCTAACGACAGCAAGTAATTTCATCATAATTCCCATATTACAGTGGGGTATGTTATAACGAGCGTAATTGGTTCCAGAACCTCGTTCGTTATAGCATTCGTTCGTTATAGGATTAATCCGTTCCAGGCCCCCAAATACAACCACCTAACACTGAAAAAATTCTGTGGAAAATGTAAAAAATACGGTACTTTATCTTACCTTAGTGTTATTCAGCATGCAGGTACCCCTAAACACTGGCACATCACTATCACTTCCACTGGGAGTCTTGGCTTTAAGGTCCTCAAACAATTGTCTGGCCTTCTCACAAATTATAGCTTCACTAATGTTACCACCTGCCATTTCTTTCTCCTTTATCCACACTAAGAGTAAATTTTCCATCTCTTCAATCACATTACACTTTGCTTTGCTAAGTCTAAAGATTCCCTTAGCCACTTGCACAGTTTTTAACTCCTCTTTATTCTTCAAAATCGTACATATAGTCGATTTAGCCATCCCATATTCATCACTAAGTTTCGCAATGCTTCTTCCATTCTCACGTTTCTTTATAATTTCTTTCTTAGTTTCAAGGGTTATTAGCTTTCTCACTCGCTTTGGACGACTCATTGTTACAATTGTATACTTGTATAACAAAATAGTTATACAAATAACGCGAATTTCCACATCAAAAGACGAAATTTCAACAATAACAGTGGTGCACTGGCTACACAATGAGACAAAGATGGCGCCTGACGCTCTTGTTGTGGGTCGCGGTACAACAATATTCATGGGCCAGGCGAAATAGTCCCGTATTCATCCGCGTTCGTTGTAGGAGTTGCGTTCGTTATAGCATTCTCAATTTTATAGGTAAAACCGTTCGTTATAGGAATATTCGTAGTAGGATCCGTTCGTTATAGCATACCCCACTGTATTTAGGTTCATTTGGTGCAGGGTTAATAAAAGATTACAGTATCAAAATATAATCAATTTTCCCCCAAAAAATCCAACACTCAATCCCAGATGGGCTATTGCAGACTCTTGTTTACTGTACAGAACAGTATCAGCTGATCATTCCTGCTCTCCCTAACAATATTGCCAGCACTCACCATCTCTCAAGTACTGGATTTTTCAGTAAATCAAGTATCCCAGAACCCCCTTTTTGTCACATTAACTAAACAAGCAAAAAATCACTAAATTACTGCTGTACAGTAAACCCTCGAAGATTCGGACCTGGTAAATCCAGATTTCAGAAGATTCGGAAAAAAATTGGTGGTTCTGGACTAAGAAGCCTCCCTAAGAAGCATTCCCAAAACAAGGTGAAGGTAGTTTTAGGCTTAAAGTTTTGATCTTATAAAATGTCTGACTAAAGTTAGCAGATTATAAATTGCATTGCTGGAACCCTTGCAAGACAGCGAATAATTTGAGTATAGACATTATATATTTTGCATAAGAGATAAAAAAAAAGTCCTTTAGTGTAGTACATTTAGTACAAAGTGAGTACGTACTGTAATATGTTGCTCAAAATTATGGCTTTTTCACAGGAAAAAGTCTCTATAACTAACCCCCAGTGGTCGGGATAATATGTACAGTATTTTTGGTGTTTTTTATATCATTATTTATCGTTTTTATACATTAGTACATCAGCCAGAAGATTCGGAAAATCGGACCACGTGTCCGAAAAAGCTGTTTGTCCAAATCTTCCGCCGAATGAAACTTAATGTATGAAAACGATAAATAATGATATAAAAAAAAACACCAAAAATACTGTACATATTATCCTGACCACTGGGGTTAGTTATACAGACTTTTTCCTGTGAAAAAGCCCTAATTTTTAGCAACATATTACAGTAAGTACTCACTCTGTACTCAAATGTACTACACTAAAGGACTAAAATTTTTATCTCTTATGCAAACTAGGAGAAGTTTATACTCAAATTATTAGTTCTCTTGCAAGGATTCCAGCAATGCAAGTTACATTCTGCTAACTTTAGTCGGTGACATTTTATAAGATAAAAACTTTAAGCCTAAAACTACCTTCACCTTGTTTTGGGAATGCTTCTTAGAGAGACTTCTTAGCTCAGAACCCCCAAAGTTTTTGTCCGAATCTTCCGAAATCCGGATTTACAGGGTCCAAATCTTCGAGAGTTCACTGTATGGTATACTGTATATAAATTACCTGTTAGCAGACTCATAACACTGGTCCCAATCCTGTTCAGCAAGATAAACCTTCATCTTCTCAATCAGTGGGGCAGTGAACCCAGGGTATGAAACAACCAAGAGGTTTAAAGTCTCCATGGCTTCCTTATAGGCATTACGATTTTCATGGTGTTTAGCTTTGCCAAAGAGAGCATCCATGTGTCGAGGTGAACTATAAAGGAAAATAAATTACAATTAATACCAACATATGATGCAAAATGGGAGGTCTTAGTTGAACTAAAGCCTACTACACACACTCAAGTTTTTTTCATATTTTTTTTCTGCACAAACAAGCATGAAATGTGTGTTTTTCCTCCACAATATCCAGTTATGTTCACTGAAGAGGACAATGCTATCAATTTCTTCTCTGGAAAATGCAGTGAAAAAATAGATTAACAAAACCAACTTTCTCATGTACTTGTGCGTTTTCAGGGGCTTGTCATATAAACATTCCACAAATCATTACATTGAGATATTTATTTTAATACTGTTTTTCTTTGATTCCATAATATGATTACTATTGAGAGTTTCCTTCTGTCGAATGTAAACAAACACAAGGCTGCCACACTGCATAAAGCCTGACAAGCCCCTGTAAATGCACTTGGGAAGAGGACTACACTGGTCAGCAAAATTACAACTGAAGACTAAAGACTGGTATGGTAAAACTATCTTTTCTTTGAATGAACACAGAAAGATATTTTCACCTCTTATCAGTAGTAAAACCTTTGACTGAGAAGAAACATGAATGAGGAATAACATTAGTGATGGCTATGACATTTTTATGAATTCTAATATGAATTCTTTATAAAAATTGAATAAATCACACAATCAATACTGCAACAGCAAATGAGGGGAAGTAGCTGCTGTGGTAGTGTCCAATACAGCATGCCCTGACAATTTGTGGACCTCAATTATTTGCGGATGACACCCTGGCTGTACCCGAGAATGTCTGCTGATAGTTTTAAAGTTACTGACATTTTCGTGGCCAGGACAGGGAGTCATTCGTTCTAGAGACAGTTATTTCTTTTACCTGTATCTTACAGTATATGTGTGTGTTTGTGTCTACACACACACACATACAAATAAATAATAATGGGAAAATCCTCTCACAAGTAATCAAAAACGAGACAACAAAATTTCTAAAAGATGTGAGTCTTCCCTCAAGTTAACTCCGTGCTTTGTTAGTAACAAAGCACGGAGTTAACTTGAGGGAAGACTCACATTTTATCTACATTTTGTTGTCTTGCTTCTGATATTTGTGAGAGGATTTTCCCATTATTTTTTATTTGTACAGTATGTGTTTTGTATGTGCGCGTAATAGCCCGTTTCATAAACAGAATGATTATATAAATGGGTTAATTACATATTGATTTATATACATAATAACCCCCTGTAACTTTCCACTGGCTCTGAGGTGTCATGTTCATATCACGTGATTGGCAGCTTCCTTAAGGTGCGGCCAGTGACTGCTTAGAGCAGCATTAAGAAGCCGGCGCCCTGGGGGCATTGTTCCTCAACGACTCACACAAGTCGGACGTATTTAAGCAGGTCTATTTACAGAGCCTCCGTCCTTCTCTTAACAATCATAGTTATCGTGATAAGTTACGGTTGATTTACACTTTGGAATTGTATTAATAGCAGTTCCTAAATAAATGGATAACAGACAATTGGGTTTCGCTACTAAAACCCAATATAATATAAACGTTCCGGCCTAATTAAAGGCCTGGAACATTAAGGTGGCAGTGTTTGTGTACGGATTGAGACTAAATCGGTACAAGACATAACAAGTCGTCAGTGTTTTACTAAACAAGAAAACAAGAAAACAGTGACGTGTTACATGAAATATCCAAGTGTAGTGATATATCCAGTAGTGAAACGTTATAGATGAGTGACTTTCATTCTGTCGCCCAAAGAGGTGTACAGAATTGTTTCCCATAACCGATTCTGAGTTATTGATGACTTTCTATCTTATGGAAAGTTGGCAACACCTGTCTGGCAACAAGGAGTGGCAGCAAAGAATTCCTGTAGTCAGTATTGAGTATCCTGTGCCCGGCGCTTACAGTGTTGCCACATACCTACAAGTTTCAAGGTTTAGCAACACGGGACCTTTCACCATTGTTTAAAAAGAGTGTTTTGGCTGTCGTGATTGAAGACTGTACACTCTCCCAGTGCCTTTATAGAAGGCTACAGAAGGTTTAGCACTCAGAAGCAGCTACATCTCATCAGTGAGCAGGTGACCTGAGACTTCGACACCAGCAGTCAGCAATTCAACTGGAAGTGGATTCCCCATCGTGAAGTGGACTCGCCCGTCGCCATCTTGAAGCATCTTGGTTGATACACAACCAGGCAGAGACTGAAGTACCCACACACCCGCCTTGACCTTGGGCGGGCCAGCTGTGAGGAGACCAGCTGTAGCAGACGGATCACGTTTTCTATGAATACATCCAACTCAGTCAATAGGTATTTAGTAATTCATTAAATATATACACACATTTGCATATTCAACGACATATCTTCACACTGATAGGACATCGTGTAAGTTATATCAATTGTTATAAGTACCTTACTTATTTTCATACGTACTGACTTAATATATTTTTTAGTATGTAATTTCAGTTACTGTAAATGAGAGGCAAGTGTGTTGATATTTATGTAAGTCTTAGTGTGACCCGATAGACGCTTAATGGATAAACTTTTAAAGTCATCGTCTTGGGACATTGCTGACGTGACGGAGCGTTATATTGACGATTCATGTGTAGATGATAAGGTTCAGGTTTCTACTACAGATATTAAGTTAGTAGATGAGCCAGTTAGACAGTTCTGTAAAAGGTAGTGGGGATATCATAGACCATTCATCTGACGAATTAAACCGTCGAACCCTACGATCAGGTAAACAGTATAGTACCTCGCCTGATTATACACAGGCTGTTCCTCCTCCTTTTCCGGGTTGCAGTGTGTCAAATCCATTAACATTACCTACCCCATTGACAGAGCCTTCAGTTAGGAGTAGGCTTGTTGGCATGGCCGCTTCTGACAATAATATGTCGACTAACCCCGCAAATGTTGTTCACGTGATACCACGTGGGGATCAAGTACGTGATTTCACGGGTCAGGATGATTACAGAATAACGCATTTCATAAGGGCATGTGAAGATACGATGCGCAACATACATATTACAGATGCTTATGATAAAAAAGCGTTCGTTCGTTCCCACATCTCGCAGAATTGCTTTGCGAGTAAGCACCTAAATGCGTACGGATTGGCGGACCCAAATTATGAAAATTTTAAACAGGCTCTAATTGGTAAATTGTAGTCTGGGTCCCACTTGGGCCAGCTGCATTGGGTCTTTCGCCGGCTTGATCATTTAGCACCTGTGGTTCACGCAGAAACACCGATGGGGGCTGTCTCCTTGCTGGAGAGGTCATACAAGATATGGAAGCAGCTTTCTGGGGATCGCAGTGGTACGATGACGATGGAAAGATGTCCCCGGACAACATGGAAACTTTGATAGAACTGATTAGTTTTCTGTTGGCAGCTTGTGACCCCATCTATTGTCGAACCCAGGAAGTGGAGTTTATACCGCCTACCCTGTTTATAGATTACACTAACAAACTTGCACCAAAGACGTCTAGACCTCTGATAGAACGTAATTACCGAGCTACGACACCTACATGGGTAGCGCCAATGCAGCCATTGGTTCAGCACAAAGCTCAACATCAGGGTAATTACGATGCAGGTTACAAACATCGACGGTCTTTTGAGGTGTACCCATTGTAATAAGAGGGGTCATAGAGTCGATGATTGTTACCAGCTCCAGGGTGGTGGTGTTAGAGTAAAGGAGAGAATCCATCCCCCCCACCGACTCTCAGCAGAAACAGGGAGCACCCAAGACATAAACAGAGGCGGCCAAGACTACGTCTCCACCTGGACAGTCAACAGGTTTGTGGTGTGTATTCCATCGATCAGCAACTCACAACACGGATGAGTGTGACATAATGCTCAAGGCTAGGAGCGTGGACTCAGAGGTACCCCCGGTAACACAGCAGCGTAAAGCGCGTCGTTATCAGTACAAGAAGTCGGGGGAAGGCCAGCAAATGTCAAAAAATGAGGAAGGGTAGGTACATTGGTACCTACTTCCAACAACACTTCTGTAGCAGCCTCCTTAATAGCGGCACTCAGTAAGGCGGAAGTGTTGTCCGTTCCGGTGAGAGTTGGAGATATCAGATTGGCTCTTGATATTGATACGGGTGCATGTGCAAATGTTTTAGCCTTGACATCCTATCAGGAGTTACAACGTAGATTCCTCACTGAGATTTCTTATGGAGACCTCCTGACGCCGATCTCGAAGGAGTATCCGGCATGCAGCTGAGCATTGCAGGAATGGTGACTTTACCACTACAATTTTCAAGACGTGGTATTCCCTTCTATGCAGACTTTTATGTAGTCCAGCAATTTAATTTGCCAGCTGACGGATTGATTGGTCTACCAACACTAAGGATGAATTCTATAGATGTTCGTCCGCGTAATAATGCTAGTACGTTTAAGGGTTTTTCCTACAACGCTATGCGTCATTCTGCACCATTGCTCTCCGCAAGGTCGAAAGTGTTGTCCACCATTCCCATTCGGAGGAAGGCGGATAATGTGTCGAAGCAAGCCCCAGACCTCACACACTCACTTTCCCAGCGTGATTATAGCAGCAAGAGTTGGAAGATTGTGCCTGCAGTATTAAAGAGTTTTCTCCATTATCAGAATGAGGAATTCACCAAGGCCACTGTAGAATTACCTGACGTGTATAAGGGGACTGATGTAGTATGTGTCCCGGAAAGGTGCAAGGTTAAGGGTTTGTCGTGCGAATCGACGTTGAGCACGATTAGACCTGGTGGTTTACCAGACGTTCTAGTTCTCAACAGAACAGGCGTTCCTAGGATATTGAAAGAGGGATGTTACTTGTGTGATTTTCTAGTAAATCACAACAATGTTGTATTACGGCCTACGCAATTCCCAGTTGGTAGTATTGTTTCTCAATCCCAACAAACTAGGCAGGAGAGGGTTGATCGAATAGTGCCATATGTTAAGGTGATTGATCATCCTCAAGGCAAGACACGACTCTTAGAGCTGCTTGCCGACTACAGAAACATTGTAGCCTTGCCAGGGGAACAGCTAGGACACAC